GTGTGTGTGTGTGTGTGTGTGTGTGTGTGTGTGTGTGTGTGTGTGTGTGTGTGTGTGTGTGTGTGTGTGTGTGTGTGTGTGTGTGTGTGTGTGTGTGTGTGTGTGTGTGTGTGTGTGTGTGTGTGTGTGTGTGTGTGTGTGTGTGTGTGTGTGTGTGTGTGTGTGTGTGTGTGTGTGTGTGTGTGTGTGTGTGTGTGTGTGTGTGTGTGTGTGTGTGTGTGTGTGTGTGTGTGTGTGTGTGTGTGTGTGTGTGTGTGTGTGTGTGTGTGTGTGTGTGTGTGTGTGTGTGTGTGTGTGTGTGTGTGTGTGTGTGTGTGTGTGTGTGTGTGTGTGTGTGTGTGTGTGTGTGTGTGTGTGTGTGTGTGTGTGTGTGTGTGTGTGTGTGTGTGTGTGTGTGTGTGTGTGTGTGTGTGTGTGTGTGTGTGTGTGTGTGTGTGTGTGTGTGTGTGTGTGTGTGTGTGTGTGTGTGTGTGTGTGTGTGTGTGTGTGTGTGTGTGTGTGTGTGTGTGTGTGTGTGTGTGTGTGTGTGTGTGTGTGTGTGTGTGTGTGTGTGTGTGTGTGTGTGTGTGTGTGTGTGTGTGTGTGTGTGTGTGTGTGTGTGTGTGTGTGTGTGTGTGTGTGTGTGTGTGTGTGTGTGTGTGTGTGTGTGTGTGTGTGTGTGTGTGTGTGTGTGTGTGTGTGTGTGTGTGTGTGTGTGTGTGTGTGTGTGTGTGTGTGTGTGTGTGTGTGTGTGTGTGTGTGTGTGTGTGTGTGTGTGTGTGTGTGTGTGTGTGTGTGTGTGTGTGTGTGTGTGTGTGTGTGTGTGTGTGTGTGTGTGTGTGTGTGTGTGTGTGTGTGTGTGTGTGTGTGTGTGTGTGTGTGTGTGTGTGTGTGTGTGTGTGTGTGTGTGTGTGTGTGTGTGTGTGTGTGTGTGTGTGTGTGTGTGTGTGTGTGTGTGTGTGTGTGTGTGTGTGTGTGTGTGTGTGTGTGTGTGTGTGTGTGTGTGTGTGTGTGTGTGTGTGTGTGTGTGTGTGTGTGTGTGTGTGTGTGTGTGTGTGTGTGTGTGTGTGTGTGTGTGTGTGTGTGTGTGTGTGTGTGTGTGTGTGTGTGTGTGTGTGTGTGTGTGTGTGTGTGTGTGTGTGTGTGTGTGTGTGTGTGTGTGTGTGTGTGTGTGTGTGTGTGTGTGTGTGTGTGTGTGTGTGTGTGTGTGTGTGTGTGTGTGTGTGTGTGTGTGTGTGTGTGTGTGTGTGTGTGTGTGTGTGTGTGTGTGTGTGTGTGTGTGTGTGTGTGTGTGTGTGTGTGTGTGTGTGTGTGTGTGTGTGTGTGTGTGTGTGTGTGTGTGTGTGTGTGTGTGTGTGTGTGTGTGTGTGTGTGTGTGTGTGTGTGTGTGTGTGTGTGTGTGTGTGTGTGTGTGTGTGTGTGTGTGTGTGTGTGTGTGTGTGTGTGTGTGTGTGTGTGTGTGTGTGTGTGTGTGTGTGTGTGTGTGTGTGTGTGTGTGTGTGTGTGTGTGTGTGTGTGTGTGTGTGTGTGTGTGTGTGTGTGTGTGTGTGTGTGTGTGTGTGTGTGTGTGTGTGTGTGTGTGTGTGTGTGTGTGTGTGTGTGTGTGTGTGTGTGTGTGTGTGTGTGTGTGTGTGTGTGTGTGTGTGTGTGTGTGTGTGTGTGTGTGTGTGTGTGTGTGTGTTTCATCATTAACATTATTAATTAGCATTTTTGTGGCCATTTGATCTATATCCGTGTGGTTTTCGGTGTAAAGTCACAAACTTTGAAGCTGCATTGCGCGTCCGCTAGTTCGATTGTTTACCGCCAGGTGGCCTAACGGCCAAATTATGGAATCAGCAAATATCTGTTTTGTGATAATATATATTTTTTGAGCAATTAGATATCTTTGTGTAGATTTTGTTTTAGATTTAAGTGTTATATATAAGCATTTTCACCAAGAATCCCTCTCTCTATATATGTGCATTGATAAATGGTCCGAATATAATTTTAGATAGCATAATACTCATGATTTAAAGATATGATGTTTATTCCCCTCGTAAATCATTTATTTTTATGATTTTGACATTTATTTTCCGGTCTGGCATTACTAAACGTATTCTATGGCCGACTGATAAAAATATATCCCACCATTACAAACTTTTTTTTTCACGAAATGCAGTTAAATCAGACAGAGATGGCGCAATGTTATTCCTATTTCATCCAAAATTTTGCGCCCAAAAAGTATGGCACAGTTTCATAAATTGTACATTTAAATCTGACATTAGAGCGGGAATAATCATTAGTTGTCATAATCCTCTTCAAATCTCTTTTCTGTTTGTTTTATACTATTTATTTTTCACTTTTTTATATGATTAGTGAACATAAAAGTGTGAAATCATCCACGATGAACAGACAAACGAGAGTGATAGATGCGGGAGTTGTTTTTATAAAGACTTAAGGCTAATCCATAGGCACGCGCATATGATTTGCAAAGTTTCGTTTTTCATTTTTTTTTCTAAAAACTATAGAACACACACACAAA